CAGACGATGAACCAGCTGGACCAATGTATGTATTTTATCTGGATATATCAAGCAAGTGGCTGAACTGTTACTGAATAGGGAGATTAAGAACACTTACTGTGCAAGAATGTGATTGTCATATAGTGGGGGGAAGGGGGTGCAGCATGCATGTGTTTTAAGGGAAAACAGTCCCTGCACCAGGGAGCCTAGTTTGAGTTGACACATTTTGATCCCACACCCCATTCTAAGCCAGGAAGAGAAATGAAACAAAATGGAAAAAGGATGGATGTGAGAGGTGAAGGGTTTATTTGCAGAGCTGTACACATTGCCAGGGGTTCCATACACTGATATTTAGGGCCCTAACCCCTCTGTTTACAGATCTGTAAACATTTAGAAAAGGGGTCACGTTGGCAAGAAGCGGAGGCATGCATTGTGGATATTTGCTTTTACCAAAATATTATAGCCAGAAGTGCATTCCTGTCCATCTAGGAAAGAACTATATTTACCCAATACAAGACCCTGAATGTAAGATGCCCCCCCATTAATTAGATTCCACACAAGGAAAATATATAGATTTATTCTAACTTTCTGTGTACAGAATCTAATTATTGGAGGATCATCTTCAATTCATCTCCCCCCCTCCCCTGCAGGTATTGCAGGTAGCTGGGGGGAGAGGTGATGAAGAGACAATTTTGCGGCAGGTGCTGGGGAGCAGACACTGAGAAAAGGCAGGCAGCTTGCCCCTTACTTGTCCTCCCACTTAATCCCCTTGTGCCTGCCCCCTGCAGCCTCAGGCTGCCGAATTCTTCCTTCCTCTGTTTTCCCCTTTGCCCCCCTCCACGCTGCTTCTTCCCCTCTTCCCCCTGTCTCCCAACTCCTCCACTCCCCACCTTACTTTTGCTCCGTGCGGGCAGACTGTCCCTGCTGCAGCCCAGGGGTGCGGAGCTTGGCTCTAGCCCAGCCCTGTAGCAGTGGTGCAGAGCTGGCATTGCTGCTACAGGACTGCACTGGAGTGGAGCACGTGCTTCATGCTCCAGGCTGCAGTGAGGACAGCCTGCCTGCACAGAGCAAAGCTGAGGAGTAGGGGAGAGGAAGAAGCAGTGGTTGGGGGCAGGGAGGAGTGGTGTGGCATGCAGAGGCTGGAACAGGAGGGAGCAGGCAGTGGCTCCAGCTCTGACACTGGGTTGGGGCTGGAGCAGCAGCAGCTGCCTGCCCCCTGCTACCTCATGCTCAGTTGTAAGCCAAGGGGCTTTTCCCCATGTCAGATGGGGGGTTGGGGGAGGGGGGGACTTGTCTTCTAATAGAGTAAATATGGTTTGTGCACAATAGTTTGGCAAACTGAAAAAAGGGCTTATTCTCTAATCAAACTGGGGAGCAAAACCAGTGATCCAGGAGGTAAATAGCATTGTAGGAAGAGTTTGTAAACGACCTTCTGCTAAAAATTGGGAGCCTGTTAGATACGAATTCATGCAGTTTTTATGAACTATTTCTCTATACTAAAGCTTTCTCGTGCACAGGGATTGGAATTTGACTTCCCTTTGAGTGCCTTGTCTGCTAAGCATGCTGTTGACTTTTAAATTTAACCATTTTTATGAGATTTTTTTTCTCCCTTTAAAGGAAAACCAACTCTACAAATAATCACAAAGACAAAAACCTACGCCAGAGAAACACAAATTAAAAGTATTGCTTATAATGTAAGTATGACTTTTATTTCCACATTTTTACCTTTCACATGTTCAGATATGGTCTAGAGCCTTTCTCTTGTCATGGAAATAAGGAGTATTTCAGTAATTCACACTGATGGAGCTCTCACACTGATGAAAGCATGCGACTTTCTAATGTACTGAAGTATTTACGATGGTATCAGAATATTTTAATAATAAAGTGTTGCTGTCCCCAAACTCCTTTAGCTTTCAGAAAACTTGATGTTAAAAGGATTGTTGGTTTTGTTTTGTTTTTTAAATCCTGCCATGACTGTCTGAGCAGGCTGCTGATGAAGTGTCTGCATAGCCCTAGATTAACTCCATGTAGCACTTTGGGCTAAAAGCAAAAAACCCAAAAGATGGTTTGTTCAGGTTCTGGAACGTGCAAGGTGGGGGTCTTGCTAAATGTTTGCAGCTCTAGGAGAGAACCTGGTATTGAAATGTTTGAGGTTGTAACAAAAACAGGCAAACCTTTGTCTCCTACTCTGATAAACACGTGAGTATCAGCTTCATTCTGTGTAGGCTTCAGGATGGTGGTGATCCCTGACTGACACTTTTTCTCAAGTCTTTTTTTTTCTTTTTTTGTTTCAGAGCTTTAAGTTTCTGAGAGACTGATGGCAATATGACCTGCTAAAATGAATGGTTGGAACTCTTGATACTAGAACTCCAGTTCTATTTGACTTTTTTCCTTTTCAAGTGAGCAAACAATATGACTGTCTAAAGCATGCCTTATTTAGCCTCTCCTGTAAGGATGACCTAGCCAGATAAATTTTAATAATGCTTCAGTGTAGAAGGTGTAAACTATTTTGGGCTTGATGTGCTGTGAATGTTGCTTTTTTTTTTTTTCCCCCTTAAGATATTTAAACACTAGAAGTAAGAGTCAGATCATGCATGCGCCATTTTTTACTTACTCTAGCTGTTAAATTGGCAAAGCTCTAAATGCACTGCTGCCATCTAGTGGTAACTTTTTGTAAAGTACAGCAAAACCTAAAAATATATACAGTATATATTTATATTTTGGGGGGGAGGGGGGAAAACCAAAGTACAGTAAATGTGTTTCATTTTTAAGCTGCTGATATTCATTCCGTATATTATATGTCTGAGAGATGAGATAATTATGCTGTTCTGGTACTTGTAGAGGAATAATATAAATTGAAATTATCTTAAGGGCTTAACCTATGTGGAAAGACTTGGGGGTCCTGATAATCAAAGACTTTAAAAGCTGGAACAGTCCAACAAGTGGTGATGAACTGCAGTAAAGATACTTCAGTTTATATAAATATATATATATATATATGATTGCTTTTTAAGTGATTTTTTTGTTAATCATGTAAATTCTCAAATCCTTTTGCACTGATGTGTTCAACATATTCTTGTACATTCAATTCAGGCAAACTTTTATAATTTACTTTTTTTGTTTTGTTTTAAATGATGTTGAAACGTTACAGCATGGTGATATTCTATGCAACTAGTTATACTCTTTAGTTTGACACTGTAACTTCTCATGTTGATTTAAGGACTGACTGTAGAATTACAGACCTACCAGGGTCCTCATGTCGTGCATAACTGTAGATGCATGAACTTGTGTTCTGTGTATTTGTTGAAGTGCAATGATGTATAAAAAGTGGATTCACCTGTTTTTAAGAATAAAACACTGACAAAAAACACATTTGAAGCAATTTATCAAGTATCCAAACATTGACTTTTTTGTGTTTACTAAGTAACATTAACATTTCTCATCCTTCTGTCAGTTTTTTCAGTTCCTTCTCCACTTCTTCCACAAAGGTTGGGAAATTCTGATCCATGAGACACAAGCGAATAAAAGGTCCCAAGTCTTTGGCACTCCACACACAATGCTGATACGCATGAGGGAGCTCAGATTTTGAGTTCAGTACAGACTGCAAAAGTAAACCCAAAGATGGTTTTTATTTAGGGTCCATTTTGTTGTCAGTGAAATTCAAGTTCCCTTTTAGATGCTCAGCAATCATGGCTTCATAGAAATGCTCATGCACACTTAAGAGAAGTAACAGGTAACCTTTTTGCAACAGGCATGACCAGTACTAAAATGAAGTCAGCTGAACAGAAGTCAGATTCCAACTGCTAGAAAAACTAGACTTGACGTCATTTAAACAGGCTGGGTCACATGGTAGCTGCCTTGTAATAGTATTTCTCTTGAGTAACATTTTTGTTAAATGCGAAAAACCCAAGGGAGTTTGCAGACCATTTTAGAAATTACATTGATAAGATTTTGAGGAGGATGCCAGGTACAGAAGAGAAAGGAAGCAAAGTGAAGCTCTCTAGGTAGGAAATGGTCAGTTTTGTGGTTGCCCACGTTTCCATCCGTTACACTGGATGATGGGGAAATGCAGGGAA